GGCTCCGGAGTAACTTTAGAACCTCTGGCAATGCTGCCTCAGAGAAAATCAACAGAGGCTTTCTGATCATGATTTCAGCTTCCAAGTCACCTTGACCATGGAGGCAGAATGGACTGACCCGTGGGATTCTGACCACCAGACCATGGGACTGTTACAAGCCCGAGTTTGGATGAATTCCCTACCATTCTAATTCAACTGCAGTCTCATTTATATTTTGGTTCTTATGAGTCTACCTCTCAGGACCTAATGCCCCCTATACCTGAAATAATAAATCTCCGAGCCTTCAAAATAGAGGGACTCATTCATTTGGCATTGATTAGATAAGGTTCCTTAACCTTTTTTTTTTCTTAAGATTTTATTTATTTATCTGACAGAGAGAGACACAGCGAGAGAGGGAACACAAGCAGGGGATGTGGAGAGGGAGAAGCAGGCCTCCCGCAGAGCAGGGAGCCCGATGCAGGGCTCGATCCCAGAACCCTGGGATCATGACCTGAGCCGAAGGCAGACGCTTAATGACTGAGCCGCCCAGGCGCCCCTCCTTAACCTTTTTTAAAGCACCAAGGCCTTTGATATACATGAATCTCTTATGTCCCACCACCTTTCAACATACCCAAGCCAAATAAGTACATCTTACAAATAGATGTCCCCACCTGCTAAGAAGACTCTATGTAATATGATAAAAGAATAGGGCTTGTGTCCTAATAATATAGATTCAATACCTATACACATTTGTGTGTACAGATACTAGCTGTAGAGATTTCCATAAAGCCTGCCCTACCCTCCAGCCCCATCTGAGAGTCCCTGCACCCTCCCCAACAAAACTCCCTTTACTGCCCTAGACACAGTGTTGATAAGAATTACAGATAAATATCTTCTGATTTCTGCAGAAGGATCTCAAATTACTTATGACAGAGTTGGTTTAGGGTAAGTGAGGAGAGAGCAAGGCATGAGCGAAGGGAGATAGCAAAGCATGAAGCAGTAACATGTTACCTAATCACTAAGTACCCATAATGGTTAGTACTGGTGACAGTGCTGGGACTTACGTGGGTGTGTGTGAGTGGGATGTTTGTGAGTACGAGGTGCGTGGGTGTGAATGTTTACACGCATGTCTGTGTATGTTTACACGCACGTCTGTGTGCGTGAATGAGAACACATGTACAAAAATAAATAAAACATAATCCTCACTTTCAGAATTCTAATTAAGTGGCAGAAACATGAAAATATTGGGCGCCTGGGTGGCTCAGATGGTTAAGCAACTGCCTTCGGCTCAGGTCATGATCCCGGGGTCCCGGGATCGAGTCCCGCATTGGGCTCCCTGCTCCTTGGGAGCCTGCTTCTCCCTCTGCCTCTCTCTCTCTCTCTGTCTCTCATGAATAAATAAATAAAATTAAAAAAAAAAAAAGAGTCTGTTGAGAAAGTCGGCAATATTAAACCAGATTGATGAAGAAAGGTACAGGTGATAGGAAGGAGCAACTGAAAAGAATTCTAAATTGGGGAAGAAAGTAGTGGTGGAGGAAGCTACTAATCAATAAGCTGATCGCTTCACTGTCTGTATAGGGAAAGGAAACAAGCTCTGAAACATGGAGAGGGAAATAAAAATAACGCTTGCCCTATCATTATCTTAAAAAGCTTCATGACAGGGCGCCTGGGTGGCTCAGTTGGTTAAGCGACTGCCTTCGGCTCAGGTCATGATCCTGGAGTCCCGGGATCGAGTCCCGCATCGGGCTCCCTGCTCCTTGAGAGCCTGCTTCTCCCTCTGCCTCTCTCTCTCTCTGTCTCTCATGAATAAATAAATAAAATCTTTAAAAAAAAAAAAAGAAAGAAACATGAAAATATCCATCATACCCCTCACAGGTAACAGTGTTTAGGTAAACTGAGCACTCTCTTTCCTGTGTCTGTCCGATCACAGGTTAAAGTTGCTCACTGCAGACTTCACTCTAAAGACCAGGCTATCATGTGATTACGTGAGACTTGATGCAGGAGAGACTAGACCAGTGAATATTCTACCCCTTCATCCACCTGTTGCCATTAAAACAATTCCATTAATAAATCCCCCAACATCTACAGCTTCTCTTGTGAGGGAAAATACAGTTAGAAACTTTTAAAATTATCTTTACAACTATTATTCAAACTTGAGAATTGAAGTAGGTTATCTCTGGGTGTTTCCAGTTTTTCTTAAGTGTGTTCTGCACATAACACATAGTTCTTATGCCTCTGAGAATATAAAACGTAAATGTCCTTTTTTATCCTGATAATTGTCTAGTAATGGGTATCAAATATTAGTAGTTGACCTATCCTAACCATTAGGATAGCAGCCACAGTCCACTCTGCTTCTACTCTGAGAAGCATGACCAGGGAAGTAGAAATTTTAAGAAAACAGTGAGAGGGCGCCTGGGTGGCTCAGTCGTTAAGCGTCTGCCTTCGGCTCAGGTCATGATCTTGGGGTCCTGGGATCGAGCCCTGCGTCGGGCTCCCTGCTCTGCGGGGAGCCTGCTTCTCCCTCTCCCACTCCCCCTGCTTGTGTTCCCTCTCTCGCTGTGTCTCTCTCTGTCAAATAAATAAATAAAATCTTTAAAAAAAAAAAAAAAAGAAAAGAAAACAGTGAGAAAAATGACCATGGTTAAAGAGATCTCACACGAAGCTAGGAAAAACTCAAGTAACTGAATCTTTATGACTGATAGATTACTCAAATAATTTTATACATGGAGGACACTTTATTGTTTAGAAAGTACTTTTTTTATATGCTTCACACACATAGATCATTGGACCTTCAAAAAAATCTCACAAAAAGTTTGAGGAAACTATAGCTCAGACAAGGTAAATAGATTGTTCAAATCCAAAGAGCAGTGTGTGTGTGTGTGTGTGTTTATGCAGGTAAATCCAATCCTTGAATTTTGGGCTTTTCACTTCTAAGCTCATGGTCTTTTCCATTAATTACACCACAAGCTTTTCTGAAGCCAAGACCCATGCATGATAGGCAAAGCTGCTTTTAATGTTAGAAAAAATAAAATAAAATAAAATAAAATAAAATAATAAAAGAGAGAAACTTGTAAGAATTCTCTGTAGTCCAATAGGTACTGTTTGTGGACTTCAGAGTTGCTCAAATTATGAGACTTAAAACATTACACAATGATTTTCTCTTGTGTGGTAAATCTAAATGAACAATTATGAGCCACTAAAGGCATTTTTAAAGAAATATGTATTTAAAATTAAGACTAATCAAGAGATGGCCAAATAAATAATTAATATAAATTTAATAGCAAGTACAAGAAAAATATTGATATTTTAAAAGTTCATCCTTCATTATGAGAATTTAAACACATATAATTCCATTTAAGACAGAAAGATCTCAATCTGTGTGGATTTATATGTGTTTATGGGTTTGTATACTTATATATTCTATCAATTTTTATATTTATATATTCATATTTTAACGTAGAAACCAAACTCAGTATCATTAGATTCCAAACCCATTGGGTGAAATTTTATAGGAAAACAGAATTTGCAGTGTCAATTTGTCCCCACATATGATTACAAAAATAAAGATGTCTTTACAATGGACAAGTCTGGTTGATGCTGCCTTATTAAGTTGATCAAATTTAATATCACCGATAAGGGGACAAACTGATATCATATGCTTATTGATATGTTGTCATGTGAAAGACACAACAATACCAAAAATGTTTAATCTGAATCTAAGAACAAGAAAGTAATAGACAAAATAAAGCCAGATTAAGGTTCATTCTGTAAGACAATCAGCATATACTCCTCAAAAAATGTCGATGCTATTAAAGACAGAAAAAAAAAAAAAAAGAAAGAAAGAAAATGAAAGAACTCTTCCATTTTATTGAAAGCTAAATAGAAATGATAACAAAATGTTTGTGTGGTCCTCGTTTGATTCCTGGATCAAAAGTATAGCAGTTATAGGGGCACCTGTGTGGCGAAGTCGGCTGGGCGACCGACTCTTGGTTTTGGCTCAGGTCCTGATCTCAGGGTTGAGGGATCGAGCCCCATGTCGAGCTCCATTCTCAGGGCAGAGTCTGCTGGAGATTCTCTTTCCCTCTGCCCCGCCCACTCATGTTCTCTCTCTCTCTCGCTCGCTCTAAATAAATAAATGAATCTTTTTAAAAAAATATAGTAGTTATAAAGGACATTATTGGGAAAATTGGGGAAATTTAAGTATGAATTATATATATATAATATTATTATATTGTTAAATTTATCGTGTGTGATAATGTTATTTGAAGATTGTCTTATTCACAGGAGATACATGTTGAAGTATTCAGAAGTGAAATATCATGATATCTGCAACTTACTTTCAAATTAATCTGAAAAAACATTGAGTGATAGAGCAAAAGCAAATATGCAAAAATGTCAACAATTGGTAAATCTAGATGAAAGATATATAAAGGTTCATTGTATTACTTTTCCACTTTTTTGTAGGTTTAAAACTTTTGAAAATATAAGCTGGGAAAAATTGAACCAAATAAAACTATTCTTTAAATTCTTTATTTCATGTGTTCGCTTCAGCAATATTGCAATATAGGTTTATCACACATGCATTCACCCTTTTTGTAGATTTCAAATATTAAATGTTGAATGAATGTTACAAATTATAATCAGAATTTACAACAAGGCACTTAAAGAAGAAGTCAAAAGATTTAAGAATTATGTGAAATTTTGAGTACAAATACAGAACAAGAATAAATGATATTGGTGATGTTAACATTCAGACTGTTTGCCCCATCTTAATTTCTCTGCTCTCCTCCCACTTAGAATCTAAAAAAGCATTCGTTATAAATTGGAGGTACAGAATTTTTAGAAAATAATTGGATGAGTTGTATGATTCTCTTTACAAGTACAATTGGCTTTTCAGCAACCTGTAAGCCATTGAAAAAGTAACTCCATATCCAACAAAGAAAGCCAACGCCCGATTTGGCTGGGGAAGGGGTGTCAAATACGCGATCGTGTGGTAGATCCGTGCTCCAACAAAGAGTCTGAAGTGCAGGAGGGCCGTAGAGAGATCTGGACCACTCAAGGAATACAGAAGGCCAATACCAAGAAATGGCACAATATTTTCAAGGTCATTCAGGTGAGCTCTGTAGGAAAAGATGATTAGAAAAACACTGATTTCAAAATCCGTAGAAATCCATTCATTTTTCCCTTTCTTCTAAAACTAAATATAATGTTAGTGGATCTTAAAAATGCAGATTTATTTTCTTTTTCAAATTGCCTTGTTTCTTTAACCATTTGGCTTTTATTTAAAATGTCTTATTATTTTTGGTTCTATCTTTAGCATATCTCAACATATAACAGAGAAGACACTTTTCACTTTCAAGAACATCAAAATTGCATCTGTGTCATAAAACTCATTTCAGTTTTGTAGATATGAAATATTTTTTCTTCTGAGGTTCATACAATAGCAGTTCAAGGCTCTTCTTAAAACTCTTCTTTCCAAAAGAAAGAACTTTTGGTTATAATCTTTCATAAGACTACTCCCTCACTTCTGCCAGTCTACAGAATGGTTACTCAGACAATCCTTGCCCATTCACCCCAACTACTAGGTTGCCAACAATTAATTTACCAATTCAATACCAAGAATCTTATGCTCTCAACTTCAAATAACAGAATACATAAGTAGCCTTTCAAATATGGGTAAAATTTTAGCCAATCTATCCTCAAATTACAAAAAGAATTAGCTAACTGAGGGAGCAAAGTACAAAGAATACACAAAAATTATTGACCATAGAAAGATATGTTTCCTAAATTTTATCTTTATACCATAGCTAGATGATTTCCTCCAGTTCATGGCACCTTGGGTTTCTCTGGCTAGGGTTGTGAACAGAAGGCCCATTTATTATTGACTTGATTTTTTTTGAAGTGCTTAATTTTAAAATCTAATGTCCCTGTTTAAGTAGCCAGATTTAAAACTGCTTTAGAATCTAGACTAGAAATTAAGATTTTTGAGAGAGCTTATCAGCTATTGATAGGTATTTTAAAACAAAAAAAAATAGTTTTATGTCACTTTCTTTTCTTCTACCAAAAAAATGATTACATATTGCCTGCTCAATAATCACCACTGTCTCCCCCTCCTTTCCTTTCTCCTGGTTTCCATAGGTTCCTGACAAAGATGGTGACAACATAAAGGTTTGGAGAAGGTGACAGTCACCTAGATAAGTAATGGTTTTGAAAGATTTATATAAAGAATGACCTGTTTCTAAGTAAAAGCAAAAGACAGAAAGATATGAGTGTTCCCATTCCCACTCCATCATGGAACAGGCTACTGAGAGCAAGGTGGGCAAGAAGGGACAGGAATACTATTTCTTACTAAGGAAGGGTCCAGTTCACCAATTACAGCAAGGCTATTTGTTTTTGTCCTTTGAATTCTCCTGCCGGACTACAGATACAGCTTCACTTCCAATCTTGGCCATGTTAGTTTTCTCCCTCACAACTTTCTAAAAGGACAGACATTTTAAAGTTGGGGAAGAAGTTTTAAAAGGGAGACCCCATGGAAAACAATGTCTACTTCTAAGTCTACTTAAGCAAATGGCAAATAGAATGCAGTTTTAAAACAGAGAAGGTAGTCAAGGACAGTAAGAAGTAATGTGGTTCACTGGGGGTTGAGGGAAGGAAGGTCGGAGGAGGGCTTCTTTTGACCTTACTAGCCCCTCATTTTTTTTCTGGCTTCCCTCTATCTTATCTCTCCTCTTCAACTCTCTTTCCCTGTCCTCAGTCCTCCAAATGATCTTACAGATAACACTGCTCCTCGTCCTAGGAAGGCCTGTTTTCAACAGACCCTCATCTTCAATGCTAATTCATGACATATTCAGTGCTAATTCACGCCATCTTTTTAGACCCTGGCCAGGGCGTTCGGTGTCCCAGCTCTCCCAGTGAGCACCTGCTGTAGTTCAGTATCACCTGTCCACTGGAACCCTTTCTCTGCTCAAACGACAGAGTTCATCTTATGATGGCACAGCTTCTTTCATCTTTCAGTCCTTTCTAGACTGCTTTCAAAATCTATTAGCAGGTGCTAATTTCAGTTTTCACAACCACTTTCTATCTGGGTCTATCCCCTTCCCCCCGTGATGATTCCTGCTCCCATTTTCCTTTCTCTTTTAGACAGATGCCCCTTGGTATAGGCTTGTTCCGTGGTTGACCTTCCCACCAACCCTTCTCTGTGCTCATGATGCTCCAGTCACACCTCCCTGCCTCAGATCAGAACCACCTGGATTTCAGCGTCATCCACCTGACCTGGATCAGTGATGCTACACATCTTTGAGAATTGTCTGGGGGTGGCCAAGTACAAAAGGAACCTCATACCAGACTCCTCCAGACCCCCTTATCTCAGCCAAAGCTCTTCACGCTCAACATGGAGCAGTGTGCCCAAATTCCCACAAAGAAATTGTTCCAAATTGCCATGATCTCTCTCCTCTTCCTCTTCTCAAATCCTAATATCCTTCAAGCTCTTCCTTCATGCAATATTCCTAAATATTTTAAGAACTTATACCTTGTCCCCCACAACTTAACATCTAATAAGAGGCTGCCTTATATCATTCTCTAATTACTACATGTGTGTTGGTCTTATTTTCAAGGGAAAAGTTATAAACCCCTCAAGGGCAGGGAAGTTCTTTTATAGTACCCTAATACAAGAAATGACAGTAATGTCCACACAATGATTTCTCAGTGAATGCTTTATTCAGGCACTGGGGCCAGAAGGGAAGCCATCTAGTTCAACTCCCAGCCCAAGGCTCAGTCCCTTGACAGAATCCCCAGTGAGTGTCACCTATATTCCATTAAACACTCAGTGAAAAGGTATTATTTGCCTTTGAAGGTAGTATATTCTAAATGTCTCTCCTTTCCCTTATATACCAAACCCAAGCCTGCCTTCTTTTCCTTTTGAATGGTTCTCTTTATTTCTCCAGCTGCCCTGATTACTTTGCAACTTTCTTTTCATCTTGTTGTACTGAATGGATATATGGTCTCATATTCTTTCTAGAACACGGTGAGATGGGATTAAATAAATACATACATAAAATGTTTTCTAATCTCTGATTTTTGTCTGTCCAGAATGCAAGTCACTTACTTTAAGCCACTTATCTTGATATTTCCACATATATTACTTTATATTTTTACTTATTTGCCCCCTATGTGTATGTATTAATTTTCTCAATATTGCATACCTGAAAGCATACCTGTCACTTCATTTGTAGCCCCATTCAGTCCCTGCCATTGGGATATACTGATAGAAATAGCTTTATATGTGGAAGTAATGGAAAAAAAAATCCAGGTTAAAAATCAAATGAGGAGATTATGGAAACTCGTTATCTGAAAAGTATCTCCAAAAGCGAACTGTTACTAGAAACTTTTTGATGGTGTCGATAAGGTCTCAAAAAATACAACTGGAAACTGGACACCTTGTCTTTCTTGGAGACTCTTCTGTTGCCACACTGAAAAGGCAGTATCTGATCACCAGGGGGCGCTGTGCACACAGTCGCTGCACCTCTTCGAGGACACGGATTCCTTTCAGAAAGAACTAAGGTAAATTGTTCACAACCTGACTAGCTTCAATAAGGGCTTTCTCCTCTAGAAGTACAGTCAGTCCTATTGGCATGGGGGGGGGGGGTTACGATGGGAGGGGAGAATGGGGAAAAATCTAAAATCTCAAAATTAAAATATCTTTTGTTAAGCTTTCACACGTGACACTTGGATGTTCCCTTCAAACTTACTAATGCTATTGAGCATCTAACTGTTATCACTTTCAAGTCCTAGGCAATGTTATGAGTATAGGGTCATGATCAGCATCATGTATGTGATTATCTGCTCTAGAAGGGATGTACAAAAAGGTAAAGACAAAAGTTTTAAACTGCTTAATGTCTCTTTGGTGGTTTTGGCAACTCCACAAAGCTGTACTCACCTTTTCTACTGTTTATTTGTTTTCATCATAACACTTACAATTTTCTGATACTGTTTGAAATTTTCACATTCTTTGTCCTGAAACCATTTTAGATCCACATTCTTGGAATCGTCCATTTTTAAGACTGGCTGATTTACTCAGTAGGACCGTTAATTTAACAAACACAACTAAGTGAAGCAGAAGTTACCATTTTATTCAAACTACCTAGCACAGACTTCCTCTTAGGAGAAAAACATTCTTGTTTAATAAATAACTTGGGGTTAAATTTTTTGCATAATTTTGGTACTAGAAGAGCAGAAGAGTATATGGAGCCAAAGAAGAACCTGCAAAATGGTGTGATGGTGGGCATTATTTGAGGGGAAGAAGGTACAGTGCAACTTCCCCAGGGACAGGATGCTGAAGGACACTGTCAAAGCTGTCTAACATACAACTTGAAATGTTTGTGTTGCCATAATGTAAACACTGCACCTCAATTTCATCAAGTCTCTTTTATCCACATTTTTTAAGTTGGTTTGTTGAGAGTTAGGGAAAGAGCCAAGTTTACATCAGCCTAACAAAATGTAGACTATGGAAACATGCACACGTGTAGAAACCCAGACTGAGAGTGAATCTTGAGATCATATACCAGAGGGAATCTGCAGAAATCTTGGGAGGGGCTTCAGACTTTCACAGGGAATCAAGAAAAGTGATAATGCAAATATGATCTAGGTCCTAGAGGGTTTAGAAACTCCAGCTGGTTCCTGAATTACAGAAATAAAATTCTTTTATTTCAGTATCCAGTTCACCTATTCATACTCACCAAATTGAAACAGTGCATCAAATATACTCATGATGTTTCCTATCTTAACTATTCACCATAAAACGAAATATCTGTACGTTTAAGTATGGCTATGAAAACACTTCACTGTTTCTTTAATTTTATATAATTTTACTTATTCCTTGAAATGTGCCTAAATTGAACCACGTTTGGATGAGCGTTAGAAAATACTAAGTGAGAAGATGGTATATAACTTTGATGTTTCAGATGTTAGAAAAAGGTAACTAATAGATTGGTAATAGAATCCCAATATAAAAAATTCTGTGGGGGAAGTGGGTTACCCAAGATGGTGACATAGGAGGCTCCTGAACTCCCTTCCTCCCACAGCCACATCAAATGTACAGCTACACACAAAGTAATTATCTCTGAAAGAAATCCAGAAACCAGCTAAGTGACTGCTACACATTGAGCAAATACCCACATTGAAATGGGTAGGAAAGGCTGAGACACAATCTTGCCATAAACCCCGCCCCCAGCATAGTGCCATACAGTTGAAAGGGAACTCCCAACTCCAAGCTTCTTTCTGAGGAGCAGTCGGTTTGGACCCCACATTTAGTGCCCAAACATTTAGGACTCTCACCAAAGGATGGGACCCCAAAATATCTAGCTCTGAAAATCAATGAGGATTGCATTCCCAAGACCCATAAGACTTACAGCAAACAGAAGAGAAATTGTTAAGGGAAGCACAAGACTTGCTGTGTGTCAGCACAGAGGGAGCAGGCAAAATTGTCCATCTCCCAGTCTTTTCTTGAAAGGGATCCAACTGCATACTTTGAAATCTACTGCCTAAGTGTCAGCATGCATGCATCTAGGGTTGGGCTTTGATCCTTCCTAGAAACCAGGGAAGCCAGCAGACATCTCCCCCACCTTCTCCCTCTAGCTTGATCTCAGTGACCAGAATCTCTCTGGAAGGAGCTCATATACCTGTATGCACTCCAGTTTTTATGGCTGCAGCCCTACGGCTCGGTCTCCGGATCACCATGCCCTTATAGCTAATAGCACTACCACTCATGAGTCCCATAAAAATACAGCAAACAAAGAATCATTCTCAACAAGCCCAAGCAGTCACTGCAGCTATCCCTCCCCATGGCTATATCTACGTCCAGCACAGAGGGAGCAGACAAAAATGCCCAAATCCAGGATCTCCCTAGAAGGGGCTTAACTACATACTTTTCCCACTGCTACCTGAGCATCCAGCCTCCAGTCAGCCTATATCTAGATCTTGACTGTGTTCCTCCCTTTGGAACATGTGACAAGTCTTGGCACACCCAGAACAATTGGGAGCCAGTAAAAACAAAGAAGGCAGCTTGGACAATCACAAAGGTCTAAGAGACAACCAGAGGCTCAGGCCAGGATGACTGACAAGTTTCATCTCCTACATGAGACCACTCTGTCAAAACCTGGAGAAGTGGTTGTTTTATCTAATGCAGAGAAACCAATGCAGAGCCAAGGAAAATGTAAAAATAGGGGGATATGTTTCAAACCGAAGAACAAGATAAATTTACAGAAACAGATCTTAATGAAATAGAAATAAGTAACCTAATAGAGAGTTCAAAATAATGGTCAAAAGATGCTCACCAAGGTCAGGAGAGAAATGCATGAACAAAGTCAGAATTTCAATAGCAAAAGAAAATATAAAAAAATATCAAAAAGAAATCACAGAGCAGAAGAATATAACTGAATTTAAAAATCCCATAGAGGGGTTCAACACAGGCCAGATCAAGCAAAAGAAAGGATCAGCGAACTTGAAAACAGGGCGATGGAATTCATCTAACTGGAGGCACAGAAAGAAAAAAAAAAAGAAAAAGAGTAAATATAGTTTATGGAACTTATGGAATACCATCAAAAAGATGAAAGTACATATTAGGCAGGTCCCAGAAGTAGAAGAGAGTGAAAAGAGGGCAGAAAGCTTAATCAAAAAAATAATGGCTAAAAACTTTCCTAACCCAGAGAAAGAAACAGACATCCAGATGTAGGAACTTCAGAAGTAACAAAAAATGAATCCACAGAGACCCACACTGAAACCCATTATAACTAAATTACCAAAAGTTAAAGACAGGAGAGAATCTTAAAAGCAGCAAGAGAAAAGTAGCTTGTTTCATACCAGGGAGCCCCCATAAGACCATCAGCATATTTTTTACCAGAAACTACAAGGCAGAAGAGAGTGGGATAATATATTCTAAGGTCTCAAAATAAATAAATAATAAAAAATTAAAACTGCCAGCAGGAATCCTCCTCCACCTGACACAGTTGTCCTTCAGAATTGAAGGAGAGAGAAAGAATTCTCCAAACAAAAGCTGAAAGTGTTCATAACCACTACAGCAGCTAGAAATGTTCAAGAATGTTCTTTAAGCTGAAACAGAAGGACACTAATTAGTAAGAAGAAAACACATGAAAGTATAAAACTCAACAGTAAAAGCAAGTATAATTAAATTCAAAATACACTAATGTAATGATGGTGGGTACATCGCATAACTCTAGTATAAAGACTAGAAGACAAAAGTAGCAAAAATAACTGTAACAAAAGACACAGAATGATGGAATGGATTAAAAAACAAGACCCAACTATTTCTGCCTATAAAAGACTCACTTCAGCTTTAAGGATACATGTACTGAAAGTGAAGGGATGGAAAAAGATAGTCCATGGAAATGGAACAGAAAAGAAAGCAGGAAAGCCATACTTACATTAGACAAAACAGACTTCAAGCGAAAGACTGTAATAAAAGACAAAGAAAGCCATTATATAATGGTGAAGGAGGTCAATTCATCAGGTGATATAACATTAGTAAATACTTATGCAACTAATACAGGAGCACCTAAATATATAAAGCAAATATTAACAGATCTAAAGGGAGAAGTAACAATACAATAATAATAGTAAGAAACTCTAATACCCCACTTTCAATAACAGATAGATCATCCAGACAAAAAATCAATAAGAAAACATTGGACTTAAACTATACATTAGCTTAGATGAACCCAAAAGACATTTAAAAAACACACCATCCAACAGCAACAATACACATTCTTCTCAAATACACATGGAATATTCTCCAGGACAGATCATATGTTAGGCCAAAAACAAGCCTTAATAAATTTTTTTTTAAAGATTTTATTTATTTATTTGACAGAGAGATAGAAGAGCACAAGCAGAGGGAATGGCAGAGGGAGAGGGAGAAGCAGGCTCTGCACTGAGCAGGGAACCCGATGCGGGACTCGATCCCAGGACCCTGAGATCATGACCTGAGCCAAAGGCAGACGCTTAACCATCTGAGCCACCCAGGCGCCCAAGCCTTAATAAATTTAAGAAGTTTGAAGTTATATCAAGCATCTTTTTCAACTATAACAGTATGAAACTAGAAATCAATTACAAGAAGAAAACTGAAAAATTCACAAATATGTGAAGATTAAACAACATGCTACTAAACAACAAATGGGTTAAAGAAGAAATCAAGAGAAATGAAAAAAAATATATTGAGACAAATGAGGATAGAAACAGAAAATACCAAAACTTACGGGATAAAGCAAAAGCAGTTCTAAGAGGGAAGTTTATAGTGATAGACACCTACATTAAGAAAAAGAAAGATATCATATAAACAACCTAACTTTAACCCTCGAGAAACTAGAAAAAGGAAAACAAATTAAAACCAGAGTTAGAAAAATGAGGGAAATAACAAAGATTATAGAGCAAATAAATGAAATGTAGCCTAAAGAGAAATAGAAGAGGCCAAAGAAATGAAGAACTGTATTTTTGAAAAGATAAAATAAGATAAATCCTTAGACTTACCAAGAAGAAAAAAAGGAAGAATTCAAATAAATAAAATAATTAGAATGGAAAGTTGAGACATTCCAACTGATACCACAGAAATACGAAGGAGACTAGTATGAACAATTACCAACAAAGTGGACAACCTGGAAGAAATGGACAAATTCGTAGAAACATACAACCTACCAAGACTGAATCATGAAGAAATAGAAAATCTGAGCAGACCAATTACTAGTAATGAGATTGAATCAGTAATCAAAAACCTCCCAGTGAAGAAATCCAGGACCATATAGCTTCACTGGTGAATTCTACGAATCATTTAAGGAAGAATTAATACCAATTCTTTTCAAACTCTTCCAAAAAAGTAGAAGAGAATGGAACACTTCTAAACTTATTTTACCAGGCCAGCACTACTCTGATACTAAAGCTAGATAAGGACACTACAAGAAAAGAAAATCACAGGTCAATATCTTGATGAACACAGATATGAAAATCCTCAACAAAATATTAGCAAACCAAATTCAACAGTTTAATTAAAAGGACTTAAAGAATCATACACTGTTATCAAATGAGATGTAAGGATGGTTCAACATCTGTAAATCAATACCACATTAACAAAAAGAAGGACAAAAATAGTATAATCATCTCAATAGATACCGAAAAAGCATTTGACAAAATTCAAAATTCCTTCATGCCAAAAACTCTCAATGAATTGGATATAGAGGGAATGTACTTCAACACAGTGAAGGCCATACAGGACAATCCCACAGCTAACAACATACATCATACATCATGAAAAGCTGAAAATGTTTCCTTTAAGATCAGGAATAAGATAAGGATGCCCACTCTCACCACTTTTGTTCAGCATAGTTTGGAAGTCCTAGCCAGAACAATTAAATCAAGAGCAAGAAATAAAAGTCATCCAATTGTAAAGAAAGAAGTAAAATTATCTCTATTTGCAGATGACATATTATATCGGAAACCCTAATTCCACTAAACAACTGTTAGAACTAATAACTGAACTCAGAGAAGTTGTAGGATATGAAATCAGTACACAAAAATCAGTTGCATTTTTTACACTAACAATGAACTATCAGAAAGAGAAATTAAGAATTCAATTTACAATAGCATCAAAAAGAATAAAATACTGAAGAGTAAATTTAACCAAGGAGGTGGAAGATCTATGACTGAAAACTACAAGACACTGACGAAAAAAATTGAAGACACAAATAAATGGAAAGATACTCTGTGTTCACAGATTGGAAGAATTAATATTGTTAAAATGTCCATACTATCCAAAGTGAACTACAGATTCAATGCACCCCCTCTCAAAATCCCAATGGTATTTTTTTTAGAGAAATAGAAAAAACAACCTTAAAGTTTGTATGAAACCACAAAAGACCTGGAATAATCCAAAGCAATTCTGAGAAAGAAGAATAAGGGCTGGAGGTATCACACTTCCTGATTTCTAACTGCATTACGAAGCTACAGTAATCAAGGCAGTATGGTATTGGCATAAAAGCAGACACACAGGGCGCCTGGGTGGCTCAGTTGGTTAAGCGACTGCCTTCGGCTCAGGTCATGATCCTGGAGTCCCGGGATCGAGTCCCGCATTGGGGTACCTGCTTGGCAGGGAGTCTGCTTCTCCCTCTGACCCTCCTCCCTCTCATGCTCTCTGTCTCTCAAATAAATAAATAAAATCTTTAAAAAAAAAAAAAAAAGCAGACACACAGATCAATGAAGCAGAATAGAAAACCCAGAAATAAACCCATGCACTTATAGTCAATTAATTTTTTACAAAAGAACCAATAAAATGCAATAGAAAAGGCTAGTCTCTTCAATTAACTGTGTTGGGAAAACTGGATTTCCACATGCAAAAGAATGAAACCTGACCCTATTTTATACTATACACAAAAATTAACTCAAAATAAATTAAAGACTTGAACATAAGATCTGAAACCATAAGATTCCTGGAAGAAAACATAGAAGGTAAGCTCCCTGACATTGGCTTTGGCAATGATTTTTTTGGATTTGACACCAAAATCAAAGACGACAAAAGCAAAAATAAACACATGGGTCTATATCAAACCAAAAAGCCTCTGCTCAGCAAAGGAAACCATCACTAAAATGGAAAAACAATCTACGGAGGAAGTATTCGCAAGCCACATATCTGATAGGCGGTTAATATCCAAAATATACAAGGAACTTATATAGCTCCATAACAATAATAATAATAGTAATAATAATAACCCAATTAATAAATAAGCAAGGACGTGAGCAGTCACTTTTGTCCAAAGAAGACATCCAAAACCATTGATTTTTATTCAAAATCATCCAAAAATCAATGGTTTTGATTAGCCTCCCCTCTCTCAGGACGGTTATTGTCAAAAGGACAAGAGATAATAAATGCTGGCTGGCAAAGATGTGGAAAAAAGGGAACCCTGTTGGTAGGAATGTAAACTCGTATAGCCACTGTGGAAAACAGTTTGGAGGGTCCACAAAAAATTAAAAATAGAACTACCAGAGGATCCAGCAATTCCACTTCTGGGTATATATCCAAAAAAGAAAAAGAAACCATTTTTCCAAAGAGGTATCTGCACTCCCATGTTCACTGCAGCATTATTCACAATAGCCAAGATCTAGAAACAACTTAAGTGTCCATCAACAGATGAATGGATAAAGAAAATGTGGTATATATGTGCAACGGAACATTATTCACCCTTAAAAAAGTTATGTACAACAACATGGATGAACCTGAAGGGCACTATGCTAGGTAAAATAAAGCAGACGGAGAAAGACAAATGTTGTATGGTATCACTTATATGTGGAATCTAAAAGACAGGATAAAAAAAAAGTCAAACTCACAGAAACAGTAGAAAGGTGGTTGCCAGGGGCTGTGGGGGGAAATAAGGAGAGGCCGGTAAAAGGGTACAAAATTTCAGTTATAAGATGAAGAGGGTCTGAAGATCTAAAGTGTAACATGGTGACTATAGTTAATAACACTGTAGTCTATAATTGAAATTTGCTAACAGATTAGAACTTAAATGTTCACATAAAAAAACAAAGGGGGTGGTAAATCTGGAGGTCATGGATGTGTTAATGAACTCGACGGGGATAAACATTTCACAACATATATGTGTATCAACTCATGACGCTATGTACTTTATATGTCTTACAATTTTATTTGTTGACCACAGTTCAGTAAAGGTGAAAAAGAAAGTTTGCAATTTACATGACTTTATGGCAAGGATTAAGAAGTATACCTTCAGAACTAGAATTCAATTTGTTTTTTTAAAGCAGAGTATTAATTATATTATTAGGAGGCTCTGTGGATGGTATCTTGGTGTATTGCTTTTCATTGTTCATTGAATTCTCAGTACATTAAACATAATACCTATAAAGGAGAGAGAAAAAGGAAGGCAAGATTTCCCACATTCATATTTTGAGTCTTATGCAAAAGTATCTTCAACGTTTCACACAAGCTGACAGTCTCAGCTCTGGAGAAAGATGACAAAACTGCAAAAATCCACCATCCTCATTTTACCTTCTACCTGTAAGCCTTTTTGAAAAATCCCTACAGAGAACAAAGTCATTAACCCCAAGGAAGTAGGAAATTGGCATGTGCAATTGCAGTGAGAGTTGGAGACTTCTAGATCCCTAATTTTCTATAATTATTATATGGACTAGTTAAGATCACTGACTTTTCTCCCTTCTTACAATCCCCAACATCCTCACTGAACTCCTTGACCAAAATTCTTTGATCAAGTAAATAATTTCAGGAGACAGTGGGTTTACCTCCGTACACGTTCCACTCTGTCATCTGTCCGAAGATACTTCTTGGCATTTTCTCCCTTGCCAAAGCCAGCACAGTCTTCTGGGTTGGCAAAAACCTATTCCAAATTCCAAGAAAAAAAATGTATTTCAAATGCCAAATAACATGGGAGTATTCCACCTGATAAGTTACTTGCATTTTAACGGAAGAAATACAGGCATCCAGGTTGGCCCTTATGAAAAGGAAATTTGGAGCTCAAACACGGGGAGGGATCTAGACTTTAAGCTTTTCCTGACAGTGCAAAGCATTTTTTAAAGAAAAGCATAAATAAGAACTTAAATAAAAACTAATGTATAAAAATAGTGAAAAGGAAGCAAAAATGGAAAAGAGAGCCTAATTCCAAGCCATCATTGACTATTATTATGGTGAACTGGCATCTTTTTATAGTGATGTTGATGAAACTTCCCTCAAGAGTATTAGCATTCCCAACTGGTTGGCTCATATGAAAGTCTTTAATTTACTAACCATGGATGTTAGAAACCAGGCAAGAAGTATAAGAATGAGGGGCAGGAAGTATATTTTGTTCTTTATTAGGATATGTGTATCTCTTTTCTTTGGCTGAATTAACAAACACTTTGGGTTGAATAATATAGTGAAACATAATAAGTTGAACGGCATTCCTAAAAATACCAAGTACATGTTCTAAGCATATGTTTGTTTATTCCTTCCTGCAAATTATTAGGCTGCTTGATATGATCTCCCCATCCCTTGAAACTTGAAAAAGGCATTTAAAAAATATTTAAGTATGTTCCACTGTTTAATAATTTATAATAAAGAAAAACATGAACTACAAAATTAGCCTAATTTAAGCTTAGAAAGCCATAAATATTACATTTTTTTCTAAATATGACATAAGCATTTATTTCAGATAAAGATGTTGAGGAGAACTGATGGGAAGGGACATGATACAGTATCAGCTCTTGAGATCAGCTCTGTCTGTCTTGTTTCTAAATAAATGCTTGGCACATGCTAGATGTTCAATAAATATGTTTCAAATAAGTAAATAAATGTATTACAGTGGAAAGTGTGCATGGGATTTGAGTTTAAAGCAATCCGAATTAGAATCTCAGCTTCACTCTTTATTGGTGTATAACCTTGGGTACGCTATTTAACCTGTCTGACTTTCATTCAGGTCCTCATCTATAAAATGGGGGGACTAATTCTCATTTCACATGAAAATACTAACAATTCCATGATTTTGCACATACAAAGACTATCACATGGCTCCTGGCACTCCATGAATTTGAGTTTTCTCCTTTTCTTGTAAGATGGGGTACATTTCTGCTATGCTTAGTGCTACCCTGTTTCTAGAGGACACTGTGGACCCAGTGGTAGGAAGCTACTTTACAGCCTGCTGCTTTGACACCTGGACCTCTTATATTTAAGAGACTTAAATATGTCTGTAGGTGCCCCCCCATTAAAATGCAAATATCCTTGGGAAGGAATTATACCTCAAGAGAGTAACAGGGAAATACCTTAAGGATGACTATAACCTCTAGATAAAAGCAAGTCTCTGAAGGATAAAAACTCGTGTGGGGGGGCGCGCCTGGGGGTGGTTCAGTCAGTTAAGCATCCGACTTTTGATTTCGGCTCAGGTCTTGATCTTGGGGTAGTGAGATTGAGCCCCATGTTGGGCTCTGCGCTGGGCGTGAAGCCCGCTTAAGATTCTCTCTCTTCCCTTCCTCTTCCGCTCTCTAAATAAATAAATAAACAAATAAATAAAAAAGACAGAGAGAAATAGGTGGTTTCCAGGAAGAAATTGCTGACTAGGGACAAGGACCACACCAATGAAAATAGTTTTAACTTTGTCAAGGTAGCTTTGTTCTACCCCCACTTACTGTGTTATAAACCCTGCTTGAGTATAGGATATAGTTTCCAAAATCTTTCTACTACCTTCCCCAAGGCTCAGTTTAAGAAAAAATCATTCTTATGATGCTGGGCAGAAATAGCATCCACTTAAGAAGTCAGAACTACACAAAATTCAAATGCCTTGCCCCAGTCATAAAAGGCTCTACTGATAATAAGAACTTAATTCTATTCCCAAAGGTGTACCCTTGACCTGTAATAGAACTAAAAACACCAGCTGTCTGGAAAATGACTATTTTCTAAACTCTAGTTGGCAAAATTAACTTCAAAATCACAGAGTTTTCTTGAAAACTTTAACACTCCAAGAATCTCATGTACTAAGTAGCATGACAAAAGGTAACAACCACTTACTAGCTTCCGGGAGAAAGTACCTGTTCCATAAATATATCAGATGCATCTATACCAAATGATGGCATAATTCATTTGCAACATTAAACAATGTGCCATTGGGCTTTACCAAAAAAGTTTTTTAAAAAGTAAATTAAGAAAATTGTTTTCCAAAATGCCAACCCTTAAAGGAAATTATTGCCTCCAAATGTCTTACCTTTCTTGTCAATCTATAGAATGCAGTTGCAGTACTCATAAACATCATTTTTGAAAGAATAATCGTTGTATAGGAAGCATAGGCCATGAATACTTCATTTTCCATTAGCTCAGTGAGGTCAACCATTTTTTCAATTTTGGTCTGGAATCTTAAAAAGAGTTTAGACAAGAGAGGAAAGGCAGACATAAATACCTCAAATAACCTGACAGTCACTTGGTGTACTTATATTGCAGCATTAACCATATTGTTCTTAAAAATATCTTGGGTTATTATTGCAGGAGAAATAATCTTTTCTAAAATTTCAAAATAAACAATATATTGTGGCTTTTTTCTATTCTATAACATTAAGCTTGAAGATATCAAACAAGCATGGAGTGAAAATGAAAATGTAAGGGTATGAGAAGCAAAAGTAAATGGGCAAAATGCTGTAAAGATAGACTAAAATCCTATATTTGCATCAAGATGAACCACAAGTTGGACACAAAAGACCAGAGTTTATGGATTGATCTCTTTAGAAACATTAAATTATGTACATAGTAGCACCGTTAATGTCTGATTAGAAATGCCTAAGTTTGGGGTGCCTGGGTGGCTCAGTCGTTAAGCGTCTGCCTTCGGCTCAGGTCATGATCTCAGGGTCCTGGGATCCAGCCCTGCATTGGGCTCTCTGCCCGGTGGGGAGTCTGCTTCTCCCTCTCCCACTCCCCCTGCTTGTGTGCCCCCTCTCGCTGTGTCTCTCTCTGTCAAATAAATAAATAAAATCTTAAAAAAAAAAAAAAGAAAGAAAGAAATGCCTAAGTTCTGGGGCACCTGGGGGGCTCAGTCAGTTAAGCGTCTGACTCTTGATTTCAGCTCAGGTCATGTTCTCAGGGTCCTGACATTGAGCCTCGAGTTGGACTCTGTGTTCAGTGTGAAGTCTGCTTGAGATTCTCTCTCTCCCTCTTCTTCTGTCCTTCCCCCCTGCTTGCACTCTCTCTCTCAAATACATAAAGTCTTAAAAAATAATATAAAATAAGAAACACCTAAGCTCTAATATATGTCCTGCTTTAGAAACCCACCTTACAGCTTTTTGTCATTTCAATAGTATTTAAGATCCCAGGTTACAAGATCTGAATTCCAGTCCCACCTTTTGGTTATTAACTTTGGTTGAGAGATTTGGCCTCTCTGAAACTAAATTTCTTCATTTCTAAGATGGGAATAGTAATAGTTCCTAACTTAGCGGTTTGTTGTCAGAATTTAATTGAGATACCATGTGGAATATACTTATACTTAGCACAGCAACTGGCCCGTGAAGAACCCTCGATAAAGTTTATTATATCCTTATGATCATCATTATCACCATGATTATAGTCATCATTCATACCAACACAAGTGAACAAGGAGAAGCAGGATAATGGAAACAAAATGCCGGGCAAATGCAAAGGAAGGAAGTGGTGTTTATGGGACTCTCATAGAGGGAATAAGGGAAGGAAGGTAGCTTTATGTAACTCTTCACATTACTCCACCTTCCACTGAATGTAACTGTCTGTCTGGAGTTGGAAATATAATTGGGAGTGTACCCAGAAGGGAAGCTAAGGTATACTGGTGATACTCAAGTCAAAGTGGGTAGGGATTTCAGGTAAAGCTTAAAATTTAAATTCCCTACCTTACCTGGTAGCCATTCTTTTTAACATCCTCTTGTTCTGTTATCAGCTCTGCTGTCTGTTTCTTCTCTCTTTTCCACATAAACACACATCTTTTCTCACACCCAAGCTTCAACACTATTTAACCTACTTAGCATGGAGTTCGGTTTCTTGGACAAAATGTCCATTCCTGCCTTTGAAACTCAACCCCTGTATGCAACCTTATCAGACTGACATCGATCAAACTCTGATCATTCTATCCATCTACCAATAACCTATAAATCTATATCTCTTTCTCTACTCTGTGACTGGTCATATAGCTGTCTACATATTGCTGTGAATGTGATATAAACAACACACATATACATATATGCTTAATTTTATAATGTCCAACTATGCCCTATACTTTTTGTGTGTTACATAATCTTTGTAACTATTCTAGTATAGTCCTCATAACTATATGCATTTTACAGATGAAGAAAGTGTGAATCAGAGATATTAAGCAGCCAAGCTAGGACACAAACCCACGTCTCTGACTTCGTATCTTTACACTACACAGCACTGTCTCCTTCAAGAGACTGTAAAGTGCTTAATGCTGATTCAGCTAACACTGACTGAATGCCTGCCTGTGGCTGGGGCACCTCACATCTGTTACCTTGTTTCCTCTCCCAGTGATGCTACAGGGTAGATACTATTACTCCCATTTTTCAGATGAAGAAACCAAAACTTCCGAAGTAACTCCTATTTTTTTCAAAGATTTTATTTATTTATTTGAGAGAAAGAGAGAGCACGAGCAGGGGGAGGAGCCAAGGGAGAAGCAGACTCCCCACCGAGCAGGGATCCCGACGTGGGACGCGATCCCGAGAGCTCAGGATCATGACGTGAGTGGAAGGCAGACGCTTAACCGACTGAGCCACCCAGGCATCCCAGTAACTCCTATTTTGAAAGGTGGGCTGAATATGTATTTCAGATTTAAGCAAACAGAAACTGTATGTTTCAGTGTAAAAAACAAAACCAAATGCATATGATACATTAATCCACCTCCACAAGTCAGCAGTCTTGAAAGCACAGAATGTGATATAAGCTCTCGGTGCAAGGTAATACTTTTAGTACCATTTAATGTATCTGCTCTTGTTCTGGTAGCGGGGTGGGGGGGGGGAGGAAGTCAGGAATAAACTGCGCTATCCTTCAAAGCTCATGTAAAGTAATTAGCTTAATAAGGGATCCTTAAGTCCTATGCCTCTGGACAGAGATCTGAAGAAACACAGCAGGAATGTTAATTTAAAAAAAATAAGAAAAGTTTATCAAGTCGGAACTGTTGTTATTTAACAATAATTTTACAACTAAACAGTTTCTGTAGGTCGCTACAGATGTTTACAGAATGAAATGTATTTAGCAATGGAATGTAAGTCCAGAGAATGGTTTTCTTTTGGTTAAAAACTGGTCTTGAAAAAGTAGAGAAAAAGCGGAAGCCTTCCAGAGCTGCTGGTGGGAAAAGAACACAAAGATGTCAGCAGTTGGAGGAAAAGGGCAATGCGAGGTTTTTTTCTTTCAATGTGAATAACACATTGAAAGCGTACCTCACAGCAAGAGTTTTTCCAACACCAAGAATGTAGCTTAACTCCTGGAGTCTGTGGTTTGGGGAGATGGGCCAATGCTGAGCCTCTGACTTCACATCCTAAAGGTCCATGAACCATTTCTCAGAGACCAATATCTTCCACTCCCAGCATACCGGAGGGCCAGGTGAGGAGAAGGTAAGGCACTGAGAAACAGAAGTGATTTGGGGAGGGATGTGCTCTGGCGAGCGCTGTGTATTGTGTAAGACTGATGAATCACAGACCTGTACTCCTGAAACAAATAATACATTATATGTTAATTAAAAAAAAAAAGAAAGAAACAGAAGTGATTTACAGCATGGAATAAGATGGTGCTGGCCTAGACTTTTTTTCAAAGCTGATTTGTCAGGACATTGCCTTGAGCTTACATCACGGCAGGGCACTGCAGTCAATACAAAATTAATGGGGCGCCTGGGTGCCTCAGTTGGTTAATAAGCATCTGCCTTCGGCTCAGGTCATGATCTCGGGGTCCTGGGACAGAGCTCCGCTTCTCCCTCTCCTTCTGCCCCTTCCCTTCACTCGTGCTCTCCTACTCTCTCTCAAATAAGTAGATGAAATCTTTAAGAAAAAAAAAAAAAACCCACAAAATTACTGAACGCTTTTTACTAGGGGAGGTCGCCAGGAGGGAGGAGAGCAGTGTAGTAGTGTTAATAATTAAGAGGGTAAATTGTTAAGTGTTTTGAGTATTCTAGGAACGAGGTATGAATAATCTAAGAAAAGACAAAACATGAAACTTGGTTATGAATTAGAGAGAATAAAATGTTACAATGATGAATTACATTTGTCCAGGGTATCGTTCCCTTCATTGTCCATCACTGGTTGGCACAGCAGAGAATACCTCTATCTTTTTCACCAGAGAGCTGGACTCAGTCCCCTAAGGTGGAGGTGATGCCTCTGAAGGGGCAAAGAGCAAAGTGCGAAGCACACAGAGACTCTGGAGCTAGACTAGAGTCTGGGTAAATTCGGCTCTGCCATTTACTGGTTGTGGTTTAACTTCTCTGGGACCTACTTACCTTACCTGTATAATGAGGTTAATAATACTTCCTATCTCACAAGATTCTTGTATCAAATGAGCAAAGTCTAAAGACATTACAAAAGCACTGGGAACTGGTAAATATTATATAAGTATTTGATAAATAAGTTCCCACTTTGGCACTGTTCTAGGCACTGAGGAGATCATTTGAGGGTTTTCAAAAAGCTTACCCATTATCTCACTTGATCTAGAAAATTCTAAGGTAGTCAGAGCAAGCAATATTTGTCTCTGCCTTTAACATGTAAGGAAGCTGGGGCGCCTGGGTGGCTCCGTTGGTTAAGCGACTGCCTTCGGCTCAGGTCATGATCCTGGAATCCCGGGATCGAGTCCCTCATCGGGCTCCCTGCTCAGCGGGGAGTCTGCTTCTCCCTCTGACCCTCCCCCCTCTCATGTGCTCTCTCTCTCTCTCTCTCTCTCTCATTCTCACTCTCTCAAATGAATAAATAAATAAATAAAATCTTTAAAAAAAACTAATAATAACATGAAAGGAAGCTGAAGTCTGAAGAGGTAGAGTGAGTAATGTGACCCAAATTCACAGTGGAGGGGCCAAGACTGGAACCCAGTTTTCTCAAGTGTTTAGCTCATGGGCTATCCACCATCAAGGCTAAGAATTCTAGACCACTCTGGTTTCTGGGGGCCTTTTTCTGTCCAATCTCCTATTCCTATCTTGCCCTCCTCATCCAAATACAGCACCTACCCCTACTGTATCTATTACAGTTGAGTTTTTTATCTCTCAACCATGGAATATTCCTCTTCTCTTTACAGGCTCTGGGCCAAAAAGGGCAAAGTTCTCTTCTTATTTATGGTGGCCTTGCAACATCAACATTGTGAAACACACAAAAAATCTGGTCACACAACCCCGAGCCATGACTCCTCAATTTCATACCTTCTAAAACAAATGTAATACTACCACAAGATTTTTAAAAAAAAAAAAAAAGATAATTAAATTATCTTGGCCTCCTATGCTTCAGAGCCTGGGTGCTGGGGAGAAAATGCTGGGGGCTCTGGGAGAATGTGAGGTAAGGCTGTTCTCAGGGGCCTCTGCTGATCTCCTTTCCCAGCCTCACTGATAAACTCCACTCTAAAACAAACCCTTAGAAAAAATTGTACTTTTCTGCCACCAAGAGCAATATTCAAACTGGGACTGATTTGCCATTTAAAAAAATGACCAAAGTTCTACATAGTCCTCTTATTTGGGGAACAGCAAAGGACAGCAAACCCTATTACTATCTTAACTCCCAGTATGGTAAGCCCCCAGGGGGGGGATGCGAAAAGGGTCTGTAGTTTGGCATTCACCACAAGCTAAGGCCCTGAAGAACTCTAGTCTTAAATGGCAAACAGTGGAAAGGCTGTAAACTGGAGGATCTGGGGAATTTTCCATGTGCCCCTATAACAATGCTTGATTATAAGCCACTTGGCACTCTCTTGGAGAGAAAGCAGACAGAGGGCAAAGGAGAAAACAAAAGGGTGCCCAGAATACTAAGAGGCCTTGGGACTATTTCGAAGAAAGCAAGGAGATGGGAGATTTGCATGCACCTTCTCTCCACTGCCCCGGGGCCGCCATAACAGTAATATCCGAGGCCTCACCTCCCAAATAAGAGTTTCCCATGGCTTCCTCCTCCAGACTGGGGGGCTGGCTATAATATCACAAAGTTTAACCTATGTCCTCCTGCACTTTGTTACTGTCGTTATATTATTATCATTAAACGTGACAATGCTCCTCTTGCCTAGCAAAGTGAACCACGAGGAGCAAATCCTTCTTGTACTTCAGTAGGTGCAAAGGCCAACTTGCCCAGGGCCGCTGCAGGATTCCACACCCTTCGGTTGAACAGAAGTTGCCTAACATACAGCGACTTCATGTATTATACAATTTGCACAAAGCGCGTAGAGCACACAGAGACTCTGGAGCTAGACTAGGGTCGGGGTGAATGCGACTCCGCCACTGGCAGGTTGTGATTTAACGTCTCTGGGACCCCAGAGTTCCAGGGGGCCCGTTCAAGGTGGACGCTCGCGCGGCTTGAGAATAAAAAGTGAGTAACTCACTACGTAAACGTAAAAGGACTTATTCCCTTAAGTTTCTTTCCTGGAGTTTGACCACGGGGAAAACTTACCTACCAGGGTACAGGAACTCGACTCCGTTTCAGAGGCGACGGACTGAAAAGCCAGCGCTTAGCAGCTACAGAGAGCAAAGAAGTTCCACGCGGGCAAAGCCCACCCGCTCCACCCACTTCGCTCCTTCCCGCCCACCGCGCACCCTTTCCTTGCGCGTCCCTTCCCGGGCACGTACGGTGAGTCCGAGTAGGGGCGCAGCGGCAGCGAAGCTGTCCCAGCCGGTGGCTCGCGCGGGCACTGCGGTGACTTCTACCGCTCGGGAGAGGGACGCAGGGCACCGCGCCCATCTGGCCAATTTCCAGTTAATCCGCTCTCCGGCGCTTCAAGCCTGACTCCCAGCCTCGCCAAGCACCTCCCCTAAATGGCCTGACTTCTTTTTCTTTTTCTTTTTTTTTTACAGATTTTATTTATTTATTTGACAGAGAGAGACACAGCCAGAGCAGGAACACAAGCAGGGGGAGTGGGGGAGGGGGAAGCAGGCTTCCCGCGGAGCAGGGAGCCCGATGCGGGGCTCAATCCCAAGACCCTGGGATCATGACCTGAGCGGGAGGCAGATGCTTAACGACTGGGCCACCCAGGCGCCCCTGGCCTGACTTTTTTGTGCAAGAGTAATCACTGCCCACCCGGTTCCTTCTTTGACCCCCTGCGGCGCCTGGTGGAAGCCTTTCTTTCCGGCTCCCCTATTCAGTGGGGAGGAGATGTTGGCAGTTAGTATCAGACCTGTGTGTCCTTGGACTTTGCAAGCACGCGAGTGGGAAAGCAAGGAAAAAGCGGTTAACTTTTATTTAGCTGGAAACAAATTTTTTAAAGGTTTTAATGTTGAATTTTGAAAGCTTTAGAAGCTTTATAGAAGATTTAAATCTCTAGGGGGGAAAATGATGAGAAATCATTCATAAAATTACCTTCCATTGAACTTCACTTTCCCTGCATCCGTGGCTGGCAAAGCCTGGCTCGGACACAATGTAATGTTCAGTAAAGATCACCTATAATCTTCCAAACCTGTAATCCCAAGCAGCTTGCTTCCTCACTCTGTCCCCTCATGTTCAGGATCCAAAATGGAAATGGAGGGGATTATATTGGATCAGTTCATTACAGGATCAGCTCAGTATGGTTTTTGCAGGGACATTCAGGGGAGTGTTTTAGGAAACTATGGTTATTCTAACATCAATATCTAGATTAGGGATATTTCTAAGCTTCCTAGTCCCCACAAAAATATTTATGGATCTAGCTTCCATGGTTTTATCTAAAACTATTTAAGGATTTATGTTTTCAATCTATGTTATTTCTCTCTTGGTACTACTTCTCACATTTACCACCTGCTGTGTAGTATACTTCCTTTTTTTTTCTTTCTTTCTTTTTTTTCTTTTTTGTCCTAATTTTATCTCCTTCAGGTTTTAAGGGGTGCCCTCAGGACTAGCTAGCTAAGATTTGATAGACAAGTCTGTATTCTACCAAAAAAGGAAGTAAGACTTACCAGCTTGCTCTGGGAAGCAGAAATAAACCACAAACCTGAGAACAATTTCTATACAAGCCTATCAGTAGAGTACTGGGAAATCTAGCATCAGAAGATAGTAGTGCTTCATTTTCAGGTCTATATCTTTTAAAAATTGTGTTTATTTACTTATCTCAGTAAAGTACTCTGGAACCTGGCCTTAACACTAACTGGAATAGGACAGACTTTGAGATGAGCCTGTTCTGAATTCTCACCACAGGAGTTTAGTATTCTTAATTTATTATGAGGTGACACAGCCCAAACCATAACATTACAGAAAAAGGTACAAAGAGCTATTATTAAATAATTTGATCTACAGAATTCCAGTTGAGCAGTTCTAACATGTTTTTGAAAAGAAGGGAGGACCTGACTCATCTGATGCTCTAATTATAAGATGTATTCAAACTTAACTAATCAATGAATAAATCTTGAGTTCCTGCTGTCAATAAACCATGAGCAGTTATTGCCTGTCTGTTATATGTATGACACTAGCTTTAGTACAACATCAGTACTTAACAGTAATACATTTAAATCAAAAGACATTTATGAAGTGAATACAAGGCATTTGGCTTGATGTTAAAATCTGAAACTAAGATAAATAACATCAAATAACTTTGCTCAAGGAGTTTATAACCTGTTAAACACAAAGGCCAAAAAAGTACAAAGGCCACCAAACTTGAGGAAGAAAATATTTCAATTGAGAAATGAGAATGATAGTCGGGGTAGGAACTAGGACAGTAAAGAATTTACACTTTCTATTCATCTTTGTTATAAGCTCTTAGATGAGTACAGACAGAAAGAGTTTTTATCCAGCTTGTTTTATTTCAGGTAAAGGAAAGGGTTCAGACTTTGAACCCTTCTCCTCACCATCATTTTAAGTCTATAATAAAATATTTCCGGAAAATTCAACTCAAGCTTTAAGACAAGTAATTCCCTAGTAAATATTAAAACAGTTTAAAAGGTCAATGATTTGGGGTGGGAGAGCAAAGGTCATTCAGCAGAGTAGCTGCCATAACAAAGAAAAGGGGGATCAGATCAGAAAGGTCTAGAAGAATAAAGCATTTACAGCCTAGCAATTCTTGCCTTTTAGAAAACCCACAAAGGAGAAATATCAGAAAAGATTGTCATTACCACAAGACAAGGCTTACTGTAAGTGGGAGGGGATCAGGTGCCCATCATTTCTTATAATTATCTTAGATCTTTGTTTTTTTCTAAATCCACAGAAAAAGTGCCCCTGTAACCTGAAACTAAGAGTGCATATCCTTCATGAAGATTTGTGTAAACATGCATGAGAACTTTTAAAATTAAGGGAACCAAAAAGTGAAAATAGGCAACATTCTAAGCATACAAATTTTTTTAAAGGTTTTATTTATTTATTTGAGAGAGAGCACAAGCTGGGGTAGTGGGACAGGGAGAAGAAGACTCTCCATTGAGCAGGATCCTGATGCGGGACTCGATCCCAGGACCCTGGGATCATGACCTAAGCCGAAGGCAGACGCCTAACCGATTGAGCCACCCAGGTGCCCCTAAGCATACAAATTTTATTTTAGAATTATAATATGCTTTTTAGGGCACCTGGGTGGCTCAATCTCTCTCTCAGATAAATAAATAAAACCTTTAAAAAATATATAATACGCTTTTTAAAAGGATACTAGATTGTTTATCTCTCCCAACAATCCTATAACAGAGTTCTTATTTTTCCTATTTTACGTATATGCACTCTGAGATCCAGAGTAATTTGGAAGCTTTACCAACTTCGAAAATAAACTCTGAGCCTAATACCTACAGGAGGTAAAAGTAGCCACAATGAGAGGAACAGGACTAAAAAATAATAAAACTCATGAAGCTAGTCAAAAGAATACGGCAAAGCTATAGGATAGACAGGTAGATCAAAAGAACAGGATAGAGTCCAGAAATATAATCACACTTAATTGGTCAATTGATTCCCAACAAGGTGCCAAAGCAATTCAATGGATAAAAGAAAGTTTTCCACAAATGGAGTTGGAACAACTGGATAGCCATATGGAAAAAAAAAAATGTACTTCAACTCTAGTTCACACCATACATAATAATCAATCCAGCATGGATCATAGACCTAAAGACTAACACTAAAGCTTCTGGAAAAAAACAGGAAAATACCCTAGGGGTAGGCAAAGATGTCTTAGACAAGACAGAACAAGCATTATCTATAAGAGATTAAAAATATTCAAAAAGTGGACTTCATCAAAACTGAAATCTTCTAGTCAAAAAATATCATTAGGATACAATGGAATATTATGCAGCCATCAAAAAGACTGAAATCTTGCCATTTGCAATGACATAGATGGAACTAGAGGGTATTACGGTAAGCGAAATAAGTCAATCAGAGAAAGACAAGTATCATATGATCTCACTGATATGAGGAATTATTTTATTTTATTTTATTTTATTATGTTACATTAGTCACCATACATTATATTATTGGTTTTTTATGTAGTGTTCCATGATTCATTGTTTGCATATAACACCCAGTGCTCCATTCAATACATGCCCTCTTTAATACCCATCAGCAGGCTAACCCATCCCTCCACCCCCTGATATGAGGAATTCTTAATCTCAGGAAACAAACTGAGGGTTGCTGGAGTGATGGGGGGTGGGAGGGATGGGGTGGCTGGGTGATGGACATTGCGGAGGGTATGTGCTATGGTGAGCACTGTGAATTGTGTTAAGACTGATGAATCACAGACCTGTACCTCTGAAACAAATTATACTTTATATGTTAAAAAAAAAAAAAAAAGAAGATAGTAGGAAGGGAAAAATGAAGGGGGGGAGTCGGAGGGGGAGACTAACCATGAGAGACTATGGACTCTGAGAAACAAACTGAGGGTTCTGGCCCGGGCGGAATGGGTTAGCCCGGTGATGGGTATTAAGGAGGGTACATATTGCATGGAGCACTGGGTGTTATACGCAAACAATGAATCATGGAACACTACGTCTGTAGTGTTCACCATACACTGTATGGTGACTAACATAACATAATAAAATAAAATTTTTAAAAAATATATAATTAGGAAAATGAATAGGCAAGCACAGATTGAAAGAAAATATTCTCAATATATTTATCTGACAAAGAACTTGTATGCAAAATATACAAAGAATACCTATAACAATAATTAATAGACAAAAATATACAATTAAAAATAGAAAAAATATGCAAAAGATTTGAATAGACACTTTACAAAAGAAGTTATGTAAGTATCTAAGAAGCAGATATAAAAGTGCTCAATGTCATTAGTATTCAGAGATATGCAAATCAAAACCACAATGAGATACTTCTTCCCAAACATCAGAATGGCAAGAATTAAAAAAAAAAAAAAAGACAAAATCAAATATTGATGAGGGTGTGAAGCAAATGGGATTTTTATACATTGACTGTGAGAGTATGAA